ATATTTACATTTACAAAAGTAGAACATGAGTGGAGACACACATCCTATGGTTCTACCTGCTGTCAGATTCACTATTTTGCAACAGGCCTCCTGACTCATAGAATTCTTCCATCCTCCAGTTCAAATTTCCTCTGTTTTTTACTTATCTGCCCCAAAAGTATGTTTCTTTTGTTTTGTTATGTAAATCCTCATCTGGCTTAGTTTGTGCAGTAACCAAGATGACATGATATTTTTCAACTGTGAACCTCAAAGAAGCCTTACTGCAATTTATGAGAGAGATTCATGTGTATGAAGCAGTAGCAGGATACATATTAATCTTAAGAAATCTGGAGTGTTGTAAATATTAAAATTAAAATTTGTTACTCAGGCAGTGCCTGGAAGAGACAGGGCAGGCAAGATGCCTCTCTGCTTCTTATTTAGGTACCAGAAGATAGACCAATACCCTAGTCCAATGGTTCCTAACCTGGGCAATATCGCCCCCAGGTGGCGGGTTTGTTTTTCAGGGGGGCGATGGAACAAAAAGACGTGATGCAGGGGTGATGGAACACAAGGAAGGGCGATATGGAGCAAGCCAAACCTGAGAAGGCGGTTGCAGCCGTGGTGCTGGCAGCGGATGCGGCAGGCGGATCCAGAGCAGCTGGTGCTGGCAGCGGATATGGGGCCTGCACTGCTGCTGCCGCCATGTCGCCACCACAGGGATGGGGGCAATAATACCTTTCTCAATGGCTCAAGGGGGCGTTTCTTTCAAAAAGGTTAAGAACCACTTCCCTAGTCCATGTGTCCTCCATATATGAGGGGGTGTCTCTTTTTCTTGTGATTTCTTCAATTCCCTGGCTTTTTATTTGACACCCCCCCTTCTTGTAGTTCTGGATGAACTCCCTTTTTCTTGTCACCAAGGCCTTCTCAGGTTTTTGGTCCCCCCCAAGAGAGTGATACTTCAACATAGTTTTTCTCCTAAGTGTGCAGGGTAGCTCACTGTGGGAAACTCAATGGGTCCTGAGTAGAGATAGGGATGATTCACCATTTTGGCGGGTTGTCCTGCTTTGTGAGTCGTCAGAAGTTGACAATTCATGAAGCTGCCCCCATGAACCAACAAAGCGTGAATGTATTCATCGATTCATGCGGGGTTACTAAAAAACTGCCCCCATGATGCCACCACCCATCACCACCCCCGCCAATGCCTCCCGCCATCCTCCAATGCCTGCCACTGTTATCGCCATCACCACTGTCTCCAGTTGGCCTCTGCAGCCACAGCCAGTAGAAAGGGACACTGGCTGGCCTTTGCAAAGATGGCAACTGCAGCTTCATTTAGGGTAGGGAAGCCACAGCTGCCATCTTTGCAAATGGCAGCCTGGACTCCCTTAAGGCAGGCTAAGGGAATCCAGACTGCCGTTTGCAAAGATGGTAGTTGTAGCTTCCCTACCCTAAGTGAAGCCACAGCAGCCATCTTTGCAAAGGTCAGCTAGTGTCCCTTTCTACAGGCCATGGCTGTGGAGGCCTGCTAGAGACAGCATCGGCAATTGTGGTGGGGGCATTGGCAGGGTGAGGGTGGTGGCGGGATGTGTGTGGTGGGAGTGGCGGAGTGGTGGCTAAGGTAGGGACAGGAAAGGAGAGGGGATAGGCTGTGGGGCTGGGTGGCTGGGTGGCTTCTAATCAGCTCACCGATCAGCTGATCGACAGGCTGATAGGCAGAATGGGAAAGCCATTTTATTTGTATGGGGGATGAATACAAATGGGAAAATATTCATCCCTTTGTATTTGTGGGGGTCTCTGGAACCCCCGAATATGAAGGGATGAATATTTAACAAATCAGCGATTTCTGACAAACATCACAGACCATTTTTTTACTTGTCCCATGTCTAATCCTGAGAAGAACAAGACAGCTCACTGACAGGGGTCTCTGTGACACGGTCTTCATCCTTATACTGTCCAATTGCTACATAATGCTTCAGTAAGCATGTGTAACCAAAGTTTATCTGAAATGTCATATCTAAAACAAACATCTTTGAGATCCTCTCTCTTCTAAACAACAGGACAGATAATTTTCCAATTAAAAAATGTATCTGGAATCACCTCCTGTTCAGAATGGTAGATATTTGAAAAATAACAACTGAATTTGCTACAAGGCAGATAAAAATAATAGCAAAGTGAGATTATAGAGGCTGGAAAGTTTTTTTAAAAAAGACAGACAGACAGACAGATAGACAGATAGATGGATAGATGGATAGATGGATGGATGGATGGATAGATGGATAGATGGATAGATAGATAGATAGATGGATGGATGGATGGATAGATGGATAGATGGATGGATAGATAGAGCTGGAATTTTTAGCATGTATACATTACTGAAACAGTGACATCTACGCTGGCTTGGGCATGTTGTGAGAATAGCTGATGGTCAGATTCAAAAAGATCTCCTGTATGGAAGGGAAATCGCCACAGAGGGAGACCATAGCTGCGATACAAGGATATCTGCAAGCGGGATCTGAAGGCCTTAGGAATGGACCTCAAGAGATGGGAAACTCTGACATCTGAGCGTTCAGCCTGGAGGCAGGTGTTGTATCACAGCCTCTCCCAATTTGAAGATACCTTTGTCCAGCAGGCTGAGGCAAAGAGGCACTCATGAAAGCAGTCAAATCAGGGAGCTAGACAGGGGACAGATAGGATTTATCTTCAGTGTGGAAGGGATTGTCACTCTCGAATTGGCCTTCTCAGCCACAGTAGGCACTGTTCCAAGTCCTCCATACAGGGCACGTTACCATACTCTCTCGAGACGGAAAGATGCCTAATCTAAATGTAGCATGAAAATTTCTCTCATTTTTGTGAGAAATCTCTCAAATAGGACCAGCCATCTCACAAGAAAGAAGAAAAATTTGCAGATGCAAAGATAGGACAGATGAAACTGCATCCCTATTCTTATCTGAAGAAATAAGGGTAGCTTGAACTTCTGCAAATAAGAGACTGAGTAAGTGCATACTTTCTAATTGGCACTAGATGGCAATTAGAAGCAAACAGAAGCTCCATTCAGGCATTCAGAAAAAAATATCATTGTTTTCCATGTGTAGGTAGTGACGAACTGAAGAAGAGATAGCCCACATGATTAGGGAATCTCAAAAAGCAGAGTTCTCAATCAATCAGAGAGCTTCCACATGCACACTCCCTTATTCATAATACCTTTCTTCAGAGGCAAAGAAGGACAGTAAAGCCAGAGGGGCTATGTATTTTGCCCCCCACTAACATTCAGATTACCTATTTCTGAATGTGTGAATGGCCTTTAATCTCAGTTTATGTGAATGCTATATGACATCGTTGCACCTGCTTTCTAGTAACCACAGTGGATTTTTCAGAGGTTTGTTACATCCTTAAGGGGCAGTTTCACCACCACCACCCTTCCAGTGAGTTTCAAGAGCCAGTGTGAACCTGGTCTGAGTCCTATTCTGTCTTTCTGGCTCCCAATTTCATTTTAGAATCCCCTCTTGGCTCAGGAGTACAGAAGAAAAGTCTGACAGGCAATAGAATCAAATTATATTAATAAAAATAATTGTAGAAATAGAAAGGAAAAGTAATAAGGAAAATAAATACGATGTGATGCCTTCCTTTAAATGACTTTTAAAAACTTAAAATACATGGCATAACCATTTTTATTAAATGTTTCCTATAGCCCATTCTTAAAGCAATAAAGCAAGTTGCTAGTATCTCTCATTGCAGCCATTGCTTTCTAGTGCGTTGTTTATGCAGACAAAAAGGTTTAGCTATTTTCTCCACTTGTCCCCTGGACCATTTTTTTCACATTTAATTCATTGAATACTCAGAGAGTGACAGTATAATTAGAATTTGTATATTAAGTTCTAGATTGAAGATATAACATTTAGATCCAACAAGTTATTGTGTCACTTCTCCCAGTGCACAGGCCATTAACAAGCAGCTTATTGATTTAAAATTGCATTCTTACCTCCTGATCACTCAATAAAAAATAATTAGACAAATAAATTGAAGATACCAGTAGTTCAAAGGAAATAAAATCACTTGCATCAGCATGAACATAGAATCATAGAATAATGGAGTTTGAAGGGGCCTCTTAGGCCATCAGGTCCAACCCCCACCCCACCCCACTCATGCTGATGATATTTAATATGTATTTACTGGAAGTAGTTTGAGATGTATCTCCACATTTGAATTGTATCTGTTCATGCTGAGCTGATAAAAGCTGGGCAATTTTCTTGATATTTTTGCTGTGTTACATTTTTCTTTCTGGAAACCAGACAACAGCATATATGTGCAAGCAATACAAATGGTTGTATCCAATTAACACATCCCACTAATGAAAAAAGATTAAATAAATGAGCAAGGGAAAAGATTTTCCTCTTCCCTGAAGTTCTGTTTATCCTAAAATGTCTAGAAGGTTTTAGGTTCCTGTAGATCAGATTTTAGAAGAGTGTATGGTACTCATGGTAGGAAAGGAAAAGCCACAGTGCACACAACTCCATCATGTCACGTTGGCTAAAATCCTGTTGCTGAGCACAGTAAATCACACTAGAGCAGGGGTCAGGAAACTTTTTTACCTTTTACCCCCCCCAAAAATTTATATATGCTGACATTACCCCCTTGATTTGAAAGGAAGAAAATCATACATTAATTGAATTCAAAATCTTATTGAATATATTCAAAATTACTTTGAAAGCTTCAACTTGCTTGAAAACATCAGGTTTTGGAGAAATGATGTTGCTTCATCTTGGATATGAGAGTATCAATATTGTCACTCTGCTCATCCTCATTACCCCCAGGATTTTCATTTTTACCCCATTTTACCTGATCAAAATCCTTAAATATAAAAAAATATTCAATGTAACAAGCTAATATAAAAATAACAATCTAACACAGTATTATCTTCTGTGATGCATATAAACTAAGTGAAACAGAAATGTTACAGAATGTAATATCCATTTTGGCACCAGGTACGTTTGTTTTTAAACAAGATTCACTCTTTTCCCTTTTAGCAATGGTTGTTCTTAGCAATTTGGAACCAAATACAACATATGAAATCAAGGTTGCTGCGGTAAATGGAAAAGGGCAAGGAGAATATAGCAAAATTGAAATATTTCAGACCTTACCAGTTCGTAAGTAATTATATTCTTTTTAAATTATTATTTCAAGTTACTCGTGTTAATTGAAAAATGAATAAATCATTTTCATATTCATTTGCTGATGACCTATCTACTTCTCACTGTGCCTGGAAGCACCTCTAAAACTTAATTTCCTTGCACCATGTTGCTTATACAGTATGAAACATGATCTATCCTTGGTCTCGAAACCACTGCTTATCATCATGGTCTATATGAATCACGTATTGGGTTTCTCTTTGTACCTGTATAAACTCCTTGGAACATTCAAGAGCTTGGCAAAAGCAAAAAACCTCAACCAAGCCCTTATTATGAATGTTCCATGCCAACCAGAAATCCCTCCGCTCCCTCTTTACTTCTGTTGAGGCAGCAACTCAGGGAGCTTCCACTTTTTCTTTTTTCTTTACTATCTTGCAACAACAAAATTGTAAATAATTATTTATCATCTTCTTTTTCTCTTATATAAAAATGGACTTTATTATTCATATTTACCCATGGGTTAGTTATCTCCATGTTTTTCCCACCTTTCTTTCTTTCTTTCTTTCTTTCTTTCTTTCTTTCTTTCTTTCTTCTTTTTTTACAGCTGTTTTAGGGCCATTTAGAAATTGCACACTGTGTTCAAATAAAATTCCATTTTCTGACAGGCACTCCCAGTGCCTTTACTACCTGGAAAAGGTCATTTAACCCAATCTTGGCCAATGGAGAGTCAGACCAAAGCCCTTCCTGATTGGTATCACTGTTTAGGTTGAGGTCTCCATCAGATTGATGTCAACTGCATGAGTCTCTATGCAATGTAAGATATGTCCTTCATTCTCCCTTGGTGTCCATGTCTTTTAAAAGGGAGGCTCCTTATGCCACTTCTTTCTACTTGCACCCCACCCCAGTTCTATCCAATACCTTTCTGTGAGTACAGAAAGGTTCACTATATGCCACCTGATGCAACATGTAAGCACTATGAGAGATATGGATGAAAGACAGCATCCAAGCAACACAGCATAAAAAATTCAAACCAACCACAGCATCGAAGAAAATGTACAGGAAGTCTAAGCAAACTGTTGGACTTCCTTATCTACAAGATCTACTGAAGCCCATCTCTACAATCAACCATCTACCAAAAAGTCCTAGTGCCGTATTTCAACATCTGGGGCGCTATCATCACCAACAAATGGGTATTTTTACCCAGGTCTATGGTATAGAGTTAATCTCCCTCCCTCAAATAGATCTTGTTTAAATTACACCACCATTGGACATTCTAGAAGAAGAAATACTGATGTTTCTGCAAAAGTATGCACCAGTCCTTCCAGCACACAGAGACTCGGGTTTCTATTCCCAATATTTTACAATGCGGAAGAAAGATGATGGTCTGCATCCAATCTTAGTTCTCAGAAATGTCAAACAAAGAAATTCAACCCAAGAAATTTCAGATGGTGATGTTTTCCATGATATTGCAGCTGTTGGAGGGAGTGAATTGGTTTACTCTAGTAGACCTCAAGGATGCCTACTTTCACTTGCATGATTCTTCTTCAAAACTATTATTGAAATATTCTTGATTTAGCTCAGTAACATTGTTCCTGATGCCAAGTTTCCTCTTCTGAGGAGAGATCACTCTTCAGACTTCTCTCCATGTCAGACCTTTATCTTTAATTGTACAAAATAGTGTTTCTTGTGGTTATTAACCTCAGCCAAGAGAGTTCATGAACTTTGTGCTTTGTACCAAGACTCTCCTTTTCTGCAACTTTATGGTCTGTCCTTTTTACCAAAGGTGATCTCAGATTGTCGTATCAACCAGCCCCTAGTTTTCCCCACACTTTCCATGTCCCTGTCTAGTGATCTTAAGAAAGCCTTGTGTACACTAGATGTTTGCAGCATCTTTGCTTTTCATATAGCTCAGTAATTTAGATATCTGGTAGTGGAGCCAGAGGTTGGGAGTTTGTGGCTCCTGGGAAAAGAGCCAGCCTGTGTAGCCATAGGCAAAGTGCACAATCCCAACTGCCACCCAGAAGAAGGGGGTGGTAAACCAGTTCTAAGTACTCACTATCTAGAAATCCCTGGAAGGGGTCTCAATAAATCAGAATCAATTTCCTGGCACATCATCATCATTGTCATCGTTGTTGTTGTTGTTGTTGTTGTATTGGTAGTAGTAGTAGTAGTTGTTGTTGTAGCACCAGCAGCTACAGAAGAAGAAGAAGAAGAAGAAGAATAGTAGTAGTAGTTGTAGTAGTAGTAGAAGTTGTTGTTATTGTAGCACCAGCAGCAAGAAGAAGAAGAAGAAGAAGAAGAAGAAGAAGAAGAAGAAGAATTTAGAAAATCAAATAAACTATTTGTGTGTTGACGAGGACAGAAGAAAGGCCAGTCAATGTCACCCCAATGTTTGGATAGTAAATACCATCAACTATTGAACCATCCATTGCCTTCTTTAGTTGTGAGGACATTTGACCAGAGCAGTGGTGGCTTCTACTCTAGCTTCAGTGTTCACCTGCAAGATATACGTATGTAAGGCGGCCAAGCTTTAACATTTATCAAGCATTACAGATGAGATGTACAGCATGTGCTAAACTTGGTGCTTCCTTCAGTTGAGTGTTGATGTCATCTCTGCTGGTGGGATTCCTCTCCATCTGGTAAGAGAGTTTACTAGTCACCCAATGTGTGATTTATTGAGGCCACGATGAAGAACAGTAAGTTACATGCCTATAGTTCTTTGAGTGGTCATCTGTGAATTCACACATCCCTCCTGCCTCCACACAATCTGTCACATTTTTAAAATCTTTTAATTTGTTGTTCAACAATGGATTGTAAAGAAGTGAATGATTCTTGGCTCATATGGAGCATGCAAAGTAAGAGTCAGGTGAAGAGGAGATTGTTTGGGGTTTTTTTGGGTTTTGTTGGTTTGTTTTTTGCTATTGCTAGGCGCTCAAAGGTTCTGAGGAGTTTGCACAGACACAAAGAGAAACCTAGTATGTGATTTCATATACAACGGGTGCAGGTAAGTAAACTGTTTTCCCACATTCTGATGGGAATCAAATCTTGGACATGCTCTTCAAATACTTAGCCTTCTTTTTATGACAGAGGTGTGTTTGATGACGGGCAACACACATTATATCAGTTTTTGTACTGAGCCCATTGCAAGTCCAGAATTATGAGCATGAGGCACATTTTCCCCCAGGTCATCAACAGAAAGTATCTGCCAATTTTCTGTTACAATCTCTGTTAAAAATTACCTTTCACCCATTATTAATATGGTTGTTCCATATTACCATTCCATACAACTTTAACCTGTTGAATTAAGGAAAACAATACAGAAAAATAAGAAGAGCTACTTCCAAGCTAAATAAAATGAGAAACATTATGTTCCCTTTCAAACAATGATATTAAATTGCCTTATTTGTCCATGACTGGCTTAATGTAATTAACCACAGAACTGTACAGTAGCATCTCCCAGATCTGGAAGAGAGGTCATCTTCTTTAGCTACTCACAGCCCTTCCAAATGCAGTGATCTAGAGTGTCCTTTTTCCAAAATTATTCTGAACCAATTGCTTCTTCCAAAACCTATTTTTATTTTCCAGAGTTTATGTTTATTTTCCTGGCTAGAACCAGGAAATCTCTGAAAACAAAACATGTATGCATCCAACTAGAGACTCCTGAAATAATAGAAATGTGATTTTCCCTGTTTGTTTGTTTATTTCTTTATTTATTTACTGTTAAGTAAGTAACTCAGGAATGTAATAGTCACCATAAGTAAGCTTCAATTTTCCCATCTTTTTAATTAATTCCCCATGTCTGCTCCCTGAATACTTACCTACAACAGCAAATCATGTAGTTTTTATATGCCATAAAATAAATTGTATAACCTTCGCTTGGTAACTCAAAGGCCAGTATGTTTAAATGGAGAAGGATTTACTGCCTGGGCAGACATGATATATTCAGCCAGTTCATGTTTCGTGGGCACATGGAGCACTGTCAATGAAAGATGGAGCCATGCTATCCACTACCATTTCCCATGTTTCCCCACTGCAAGCCTATCTAACAGGATGGCTGGCGTTATATCTGGACAGGCATTCTTGTCCCCTGTTGCTCAATAAACAGAAGAAAAACGTATCCTGTGATTATTTCCTCTAGCATTCATGAAGCTTTGGTGATACAGGTGTCAGGAATTGTCTGAATAGAACTCCTTCTATTCCAGACAGCTATATAAGACATATGCATTCATATTTGAAATGATTTCAAGTACTGATTGCATCCTAATTTTGTAAGAAAGCATTATCAACTCAGAGAGAAATTTAATTTAATTTAAGAGAAAGAAACATTGTGGCATCTGAAAGACTAACCTATATACTTGCACAAACTAATACAGCTGCTTCTTCAAAAAGCACCATTACCTCAGTTAATTATAAACACTGCCAGGTAAGTGGCATATGTCACACTCTTAGAACGTAATGCACAGTGTTTCTTTTTTGAGTGAGATCAATTTAAATCTGCAAATTATGCATGTAAAATGTGAACATTTTCATCTTGCCTTTTAGGTGAACCAAGCCCTCCATCTATTCATGGGCAACCAGGCAGTGGCAAAAGCTTCAAATTGAGCATAACAAAACAAGATGATGGAGGAGCACCTATTTTGGAATATATTGTCAAATACAGAAGTGTAAGTATGCCACCAATTAAAACATTCCCAAGGCTTTAATTTTTAATTTGGCTAAATATTTTGTTAAGGTGTTCAACTTGAGACCTGGAATCCCCAATGCTATGAGGGAATAAACGTATAGGAAGGTTTGTAATAAAAATAGAATTTTAAGGGTGGATTTCTACACACATGTACTTGGGACTCAGTCCCACTGACCTCACTGGAACCTCTGAATAAATATGTATACGATGACAGCTCTGTAATAATATAAACAGGAATGGTAATTGGAGCACTGACTGCAGAGATACAACAGACCTTGTGTGCTTAGGACATATTTAGTTGCTGTGTGTATTTGTTTTTAAGATTTAGAAGACCACATAAGACAGGTTGATGTAGTCTCAACCACTGTACACTTTAATTTATGGAAGCGAAGATGGCATAAGGAGACAGATGTGATTGCAGAGCTGATCAATGCTGAGAACAGATTTGCAATCTCTTCTCACTGGCCAGCTGGGGAAAAGGAATTTAGAACATGGAGTAAGCACAAAGCAGATGAAAACTAGAGTAGATGACAAAGGGGTTTGGTTTGTAGGTTAAGGGAATTTCACACTTTTGAACCTGTATGTTAATTAAAATTATAATATCCTTTGAAATTTGCACTTCTCCATTTTCCATACTGGACTTACAGTATATGGGAAAATATTTATATTAATGGAAATAACATTCAGTGGCTGAAATCCTGTTGATGTCAGCTATGCTGCCAAAAGTGTAGGAACATCACCAGCAGGTGGGAGTTTTTCCTATGGCTCCTTAGCTTCTAAAGGATAAAAGGGATTATATACAAGTCAGAAAATCTGTAGGAGAAATGGAGGAGGTTTTTCCTTGCTGGAAAGCTTTGCCTGCTGGTGTTATCATCATACTTATGCAGGTGTAGCTATGCCCACAGCCAGTTATGTATCATGTGAGAAAAAGGTCTCCCCAAAAGATGCATATTGGACAAAATTGCATTATCAGCTATGCATTAGGTCAAATATAACAAAAATGGGCATGAATTCTTATACAAGCATTGAGCTAAATCAGTGCTAGTCTCAGCTACAGTAGACCCATTAAAATACATGGTGCCTGTTATTCTGCTCTTACATAAGTCCTGTTGGTTTGATTAGATCTATTTCAATTATTTTAGCCTATTTTCTTTTTTTAAACAGTGTTTCTTTTTTGAGTGAGATCAATTTAAATCTGCAAATTATGCATGTAAAATGTGAACATTTTCATCTTGCCTTTTAGGTGAACCAAGCCCTCCATCTATTCATGGGCAACCAGGCAGTGGCAAAAGCTTCAAATTGAGCATAACAAAACAAGATGACGGAGGAGCACCTATTTTGGAATATATCGTCAAATACAGAAGTGTAAGTATGCCACCAATTAAAACATTCCCAAGGCTTTAATTTTTAATTTGGCTAAATATTTTGTTAAGGTGTTCAACTTGAGACCTGGAATCCCCAATGCTATGAGGGAATAAACGTATAGGAAGGTTTGTAATAAAAATAGAATTTTAAGGGTGGATTTCTACACACATGTACTTGGGACTCAGTCCCACTGACCTCACTGGAACCTCTGAATAAATATGTATACGATGACAGCTCTGTAATAATATAAACAGGAATGGTAACTGGAGCACTGATTGCAGAGATACAACAGACCTTGTGTGCTTAGGACATATTTGGTTGCTGTGTGTATTTGTTTTTAAGATTTAGAAGACCACATAAGACAGGTTGATGTAGTCTCAACCACTGTACACTTTAATTTATGGAAGCAAAGATGGCATAAGGAGACAGATGTGATTGCAGAGCTGATCAATGCTGAGAACAGATTTGCAATCTCTTCTCACTGGCCAGCTGGGGAAAAGGAATTTAGAACATGGAGTAAGCACAAAGCAGATGAAAACTAGAGTAGATGACAAAGGGGTTTGGTTTGTAGGTTAAGGGAATTTCACACTTTTGAACCTGTATGTTAATTAAAATTATAATATCCTTTGAAATTTGCACTTCTCCATTTTCCATACTGGACTTACAGTATATGGGAAAATATTTATATTAATGGAAACAACATTCAGTGGCTGAAATCCTGTTGATGTCAGCTATGCTGCCAAAAGTGTAGGAACATCACCAGCAGGTGGGAGTTTTTCCTATGGCTCCTTAGCTTCTAAAGGATAAAAGGGATTATATACAAGTCAGAAAATCTGTAGGAGAAATGGAGGAGGTTTTTCCTTGCTGGAAAGCTTTGCCTGCTGGTGTTATCATCATACTTATGCAGGTGTAGCTATGCCCACAGCCAGTTATGTATCATGTGAGAAAAAGGTCTCCCCAAAAGATGCATATTGGACAAAATTGCATTATCAGCTATGCATTAGGTCAAATATAACAAAAATGGGCATGAATTCTTATACAAGCATTGAGCTAAATCAGTGCTAGTCTCAGCTACAGTAGACCCATTAAAATACATGGTGCCTGTTATTCTGCTCTTACATAAGTCCTGTTGGTTTGATTAGATCTATTTCAATTATTTTAGCCTATTTTCTTTTTTTAAAACTTATAATTTAGGATATGTCAAGTTTAAGTTTAAAAAAAATGAAAAATTGGAATTTACTGGAATCAACTGAGGTTCCTGAAGTTAAACTTGTTCGGTAATAGAACCTCCTCTGTGTCTCCTACTTCAGAACCACCAAAACCCAGTTCCAAGTGGTTTTCCAGCTCTTAGAGTAACCTTTGGAGGTACAGAGAGGATTGTATTGGGAAAAGGAGAAAGCTTCTTTTCCCAATTGCAGTGGAGTATATTGTTCTTCTAATAGAAGTTTAATTTTACATACTGCTCATAGAATTGTACAACTGAATATATTTAAATCCAGATCTAGTTATGCTAAGAATACAATGGGCCTGAATTCAGCCATGCAAAGGTATGGAAAGAATATTTCCATTTGATGGGGATTTTGAAAGCTCCTAGCTCTTTCTTGTTGTTGTTTTTTCTGACCGGATAAAAGAATAGTGAAGTGGCAGGCAGTACATAAAGGCTAGCAAGGGGAGGAAACAGATGTTGCTGCTTACTTGATTTCCTGAGGGCTGTTGTTTTTCATGTCAAACAAACAGGTAAGTGATACCATCACACTCACGCATTATAAAACATTTCAGTGGTGCCAAAAGATAAAAGTGATAGACGAAGACCGAGGCATGAAAATATGCAGGTGGCATTTCAAAACGAATTTCTCAGCTAATTGTTATAGTAGAATGATAGCAAGGTAAAATAAAAATGAACTCTCTCATAATATGTTCATTATGGACCCATGTCATTATTTATCTGTACTGTGGCCAGCGCACTTAAGAAACATATAATGACCCTGAGCAAGAGCATTGTTTTTCATTTTATTGTGTACCAGAAATTATGATGCAATGGAGTTTGAATTCAGTGAAAGACAGAACATACCTTTTGTGTTGCTCTTCATTATGTATACTTTCTGGGGTTTACTGTCCTTCATAATTGATTACAAATATTTTATGTCTCTGATTTCATCATGCAAATTGTGGAACTAATATGACAACAAATGCAATAATATAGTTGAAGTGACCGTGAGATGTATAGCTTTGCACCCTTTTGGATACATTTATTTTCAGGATTTCTACAAAAAATGTTCAAGAAAAAAGCAAATATTATTACACATATTCTGTTTCTAGTGGGGAAAATGCAGTCCTGTGCACCCAGATGGAACACTCTTATATCAAAGCCTCCAGTCTATGTTAATCCCTCTTGGGCTTTGTGCTACCAGGGCATAAGTGACAATGGAGCCATATTTATTCTCTCTTCAATGGATATTTTTAAACATGTGAAAATGGGGAAATCCCTTCTCTCCTGATGCCTCCAAAAGAGAGAGAGAGAGAGAGAGAAGTAAACTTCTGGTCTAACAGAACCTATGCTTTCTATCATAGTGGGGCAGGGGTGGTGGTATAACTCATGTAGAATCTTAGCCTCTCCCTCTCCACTCAACAGCACCACCCATCGATGCCTCATTCCTCTTTTCCACAAGATAAGAAACCACAGGAAAAAAATGACTAGGTGTGCGGTGGGGGGGGGGAGGAATGCAAGACTGGATTTCCCTTCAGGAGTGGACCTCTCTGTTTTTTTTAAAGGAAACATTCCTAGCTGTTAAACCTTAGCAATAATATTTTTTTAAAAATATGTTTCACAGTTCCTTTCTGTTTCACATGAACATTTGCAAAAATGCAGGACTATTTTAAGCAACAATATTTTATATTAATTTTTTAGATTACTTTTGGCAATCTGTTGATATAAAATGCAATTCCCATCTGTCACTTGGAATCAGGAGAGTTTCTTGCTCTTCTTTCAAAAATGGCTATCAAAGTAGTGTGATGTTGACTATATTTCTTTTACTTTTCATCCTTCACCTTTCAGAGAAGATAATTAGCCTGTACTAATTAGCTTCATGGCTAGCTGGATAGCTCAGTGACTTAGGTATCTGAGCTAGAGGCTGGGGGTTGATTCCCCAGTGTGCTTCCAGGGAGAAGAGCCTCCCTGGGTGGCCTTGGGCAAGCTGCACAGTCCCAGGGTGACCCCGAGAAGAAGGGAAGAGTAAACCACTTCTGTGTATTCTCTATGCAGGAAACCCTAAAAAGGGTCACCGTGTGTCAGAACTGACTTGATGGCACATGATGATGATAATTAGCTTCATATGGTTTTTATCCTGTTCTTTTTAAAATGTTTCAGTTATCATTATCAAACCACTTTTTTAAAATATCCACTATGTCTTTCTGTTCTTGAAAGATCTAAAAAGCAGCTATTCAGTACAAATAATAAATTCCATTTCATACTGTAAAGCATTATTTTAAAAAAAGCTTAATAGTTTTGGTTCAAAATAGTTTATCAGTCTTTTCCTCTATATGGCTATTCAGCTCATAGTGACTATGGAACCATCCCCGATCCCTGTGCTGGTGAAATTGGGCTTTCCATCTCCCTGAGAGTCAGGTGAGATTTTCAACTTACAGTTCAACTATGGACTGGGGTGTGGCAGTGCAGATGCGGACAATGTCTTGAAGGCCACATGTGTAGCCATAATGGGGATTTCAGGAGGAGAGTGAGTTGGACAAGGAAGATTGCTGGGTAGACACTGTAGATTGAGAGGTGTTTGGGGCTCAAGAGATGCTGGTGTTACCGGAGCACTCAACAGCTGGCTGTGTAACGATCCATTGCCGGGATCCAGTTCCTGAGGCCACCTTGAGGAAGCAGCCTGAGTATGTCAAGACCGGGTGAGGCAACATGAGGTGACAAGGCTGGGGAACCAGTGGTGGGCACACCACTGGCAGAAGAAGCAGCTGAGACAAGTGGTGCCACTAAAAGGACCTCCCAGTCAGCATACCTGGTGCCACTCATCCAGCCTTCTTCCTCCTAGCTCGTCTCCCTTTGTGCCTCATTACTCCAGTGAGCCCAGCCGTGTCCAGATAGAATTTGGCCGTGCCTCCAAGGAGTAGTACCACACGTATGGAGCAGCTGCCACCAACATTGACCAAAGAAGAGCAGCTGGGGAAGGAGCCCAGGCTATGCTACTCCAGGGGCAGTAGAGTGCCTGCATACAACACCCTCATTGTGGCACTCCATGTTTAACCCACCTGCAAGGGGTTCTAGAACTGGTAGAGGATGAGGGCCTCTGCTTCTCCTAGTGAAGGACTGTTGTGAAGTTGCTGTCCTTGTTTTGGATTATTCAGGAGTGAAGTGAACTCCCTGGTGCCCTAGATGTTTATAAGTTTATTGTTGAGCCATCTTGGCTTGTTAAGAAGTTGCAATGCTCCAGTAAAAGAGCTTGTTCCTGCAATTACTTGTCATGTCATGGTAAAGGGGTGCAAGGGGCATCATGTCATGGTAAAGGGGTGCAGGGGGCACTCACAGTGACCAATTCCTATTGTGGCCAGATTAGAAGGCCTAACTTGTTGCTAGGTTACACAGATTTATTGCTGAGCTGACAGAAACAAACAGCCAAGGTGGCATATATTGAATGCAGTTCTTGGTGCAGGATGGAGGGGGGCTGTAAATCTGTAAGCAGAGAATTGCTCTTTTTTTTTTTTTAGAGGAAGGATTACAGCAAAAGTATTAACTTGAATTAGGGCTCCAAATATTTAATAATGGGTCTATATAAACTGGAGCTGGGTCCTGGAGTGGAAAGTAGCTTTAATGGTTTGATACCCAATGCAATGGCTTCTATAATAAACTATAGTCCGGTTCAAAACATCAAGATAAAATTAAACAAAACAAATAAATGTCTGAGTAGTTTAATAAACTTGTTTTAGTCTTTTAATGTATTAAATGATACTTTTTTTCTTCTTCTGATTCTTGCTGCAATTATAAAACAGTTGCCTCTTGGGAAGATGGCTAAAATAAGTGAGATGCTCTCATTTATCTGGAATTAAACCTCATTTAACCCAAGGAAACTGACTTCTGAGTGCAAATATTTCATATATACCATGCCACATATTTATTTTGCCCCCTGAAGAAAGAAATAGCAGGGCAGAGCATGTCTTTAGCTATCTCTATCCTTTTGTTCCAAAATCCTGAGTGGAGGAGGATAGTAATTGTGATTCCCTACTGAGTTCAAAGAGGATTACTTCCAATGGGTATAAGACTACCACATTCATTTCTGGTAAACCTCATATCAAATGGCTCAGCAGGAAAAAAAAGTAGCAGGTGTCTAATGTATTCCTTTTTATATTTCAGCCAACACCTCCAATCTCAAGCACATCATCTCTTCTCTTCTCCCTCCCAAATTAAGACCATGAGAGAGGCAGATCATTTGTCTTCAGAGACACTAAGGGGAGGAAGGGACCATGCAAAACATCCCAGCTGTGTTTTACACAGATGCCGATACTTTGTAGGTTTCCTCCAAATAGTATTATTTTTCAGACTGGTACTGCATCCGAACTTTATTCATCAGGGACTAAATCCATAGGATATGGTTGCTACAATCTCAGTAGCCGTCTGGAAGTGGAAACAGGAAGGATCCAACTAAGACTGTACTTTTCATCAAAGCTTCTTATACCGTTATGTTAGCAGGGTATAACCAGAGGTGGTCAATTGACTTTTTTAGAATGACATTTCTTGGGACGCCTGATAGTCTTGGATTATAATTACTAGAATCCTTAAGAAATATGATAGACTCCTGGCAATGTTTACTGCTGGGTGGTTATAATCCAAGTACAATTATAGCATCGTTTGGACTGTAAAAATCTAATTTTAAGGGAAGGTACAGGTGCCTTTGTCTTTGGAAAGAGGGAGTGTGGAATCATATGTGCATCTGCAGAAAGGAAGTCAAAATGTTTTTAATTAGTAAAACTTACATTACCATTGTCTTTTAGGTATTAGTTTAATAAGTTTGATTTTGTCACAATTTTTCTGCTCTTGGGCCAAAAGAACAATGAATTTAGTTTGGAAGTGTCGATTCTAGCAGGGATTATTTCAAAACCTGTTTGAGTTTAAATTTCTTTGTCAACTTGCCTTTCATTAATTCTTTTAATGCTTACTCAGGTTTACAGGTATCATCACAAAAATAATGCTCATACATGGTGTGTATTTTCACTATTTTCCTCCCTTTTCTTTTCTCTGGATGAAATCAAGAGAAGCCCTATCTTGACTCCTCTTTCATATGGCAATTCCTTGTACCCATCCTCTGCTGCAAGCATCTCCTCTGGATTGTGGAGCATGCCATCAGACTGATATAATATATTGCACAAAGGGTGGGGATGAGCTACGTCTGAGTAAGAGTATCAACAGTGAAAATCAAAGAAAACCTGTCCTGTGTACAAGCATCAGTCTTCCAGTTGCATTACAGCCGGCCTAGATGCACTTTATATTAAAAAATTTCTAATGCTACTTTTTCTGGATATACTTTGAATGCTGCTGGTGCTGTTTATCAAATTGTAATGAATTGTAATAAATCTTGAAGATTTAAAGGGATTTGTTGTAAATAAAGATCAAATCATTAATGGAATTGTTATTACGTATGTGAAATATAATATGTAGGGCAAAGGGTAAGGGAACAATAACTTACAAAGCTGCTTAGTGTGTTTTTCAAGTGAGGTGATATTTGAGCCAATAATGCACTGCCTCACAGCTTGTTTGCTTAACCCCATTTTACATCAACCACATTGTGGTCCAAAATGAAATAGTTAAATAAAATGGCATCACATATTGCAGTCTGTATAATCAGTAGGAAAGACATATAGTAGATGTTTATCCATTACCATATATTAGATGAGTCAGGACTCAGACTAACAACAGTGTTCTGGGACTTAATTCATCAGTTCTCCAACATTTAAGCTATTATTTGCATTTTATAGAAAGATAAAGAAGACCAATGGCAGGAGAAAAAAGTTCAAGGCAATAAGGACCACATTATTCTAGAACATTTGCAATGGACAGTGAGCTATGAAGTGCAAATTACTGCAACCAACAGGCTGGGGTATTCAGAACCAACTTTATATGAGTTCGTCATGCCACCAAAGCCCAATATTATTACAGGTAAGGTCATTCTAATATATTAATAGTGACCTCAACTCTTATTTTAATATTAGTGGGATTCACATACATTCATAATATTCTAAATGTCTTTTAAAAATATTAATCTTCTACTATTTACGTTTGTAGAAGTTTTGACTTCTAGGATTACCACATTGAAAGCTTAATATACCTGCATTGTGTTTTACATACTGGGATTTGATATGGCATAGAGATTGCAAAAGAAAGTTTTTCTACTGAACTTGTATTTAATCTATGACCACTAGTTATCTTCTTTTAGTACGTGGAAGAAGCTTCTGGGTGGTACAAATATACTAAGGATGGTTGGAGGGTCAGAATGAATGAGATGAAGGTGCAGCTTATTGCTACTACTACGATTTGGTAAAATACTACTCTTTTGATCATAAATTTTTAAAGAAGATTCTGGCCAAAATATCTATCATAAAAACTATCCCAACTGCATTGCATAAGAGGTTGGTATAGCTGACACAGTGCAAGCATCAATGCCATGATTACTTGAAGCAGTGGCATAGCACACACAGTTATTGACGTGAGTTTTTAATTGAAATTATGAGATTCATACCATATAAGGATGGTGTTTTTGATCTAGATACCAATAGGGGAGAAGAGCTTGAAAGTATTTATTTCACTCTGAAATATTTATGAAATGGTTTTTCAATTTTAGTTATTTTCATTAATTGTTGAAGCAAATTGTCAGACCTGAAAGAAATAACAAAGTTGAATTGGACATGATAGGAAAGCCTTGCTTTCACCCATCTAAGCCCCCTTTTTTACATTTAGTATATTTATTACAACTTAATTTCAGCATGCATTGGCCTCTTCAGTAGATTCATATTTTTAGTTATTAATGCTCAATGGCAGGTGTGTTGTGCAAGAGTTTTCATGGTCAGTCAACACCAGAATTTGGAAACTGTAATACTCATTAGAAATTAAAAAAGCAAAGACCTCCACCTGAACAGTTCAGCAAAATTCAGGAGAGTTGAGAAATTATTTTAATGCACTGTGATGCAGATACACAGCTCTAGAACATAGGGTACCATTGTGCCAGAAATATGTGGCCACACGGTACCTTACTACTAACAACTGTGAATTTCTATTAAACAGCTATATAGAAAGACAGACAGACAAATGGATTGGATGATCTACTTCAGAGCTAATTTCTGGCCACCAGCTGCCTGGGTCTCATGTGAACCTGTGGACCTTTTTGGAACTGGTAGCTAGCTTAGAAGCAGCATTTCGTTTTGCATTTCTCCTGACGACTGAGAAGAAAAGGAAGTGATACACCCTAATGCTATGTCTTAGTAAGAAGGCAGGCTTGGGATGGCAATGAGCAAACCAGGGAATGATCAAAAGGAAGGAAGAAGAAGCGGGGAAACCTGTAAAGGAGTTGAGAGAGCTGAAAGCAGCAGTGGGAGGAGTTAGATGTTCTACTATAGTGCAGGAAAAAGCTGGCGAATTGAGATGGGGACAATTGGAGAAAGCTATGAAAAGAATTCAAGAGGCCTCCAGGGCATCGTGTTATGACAAAAGAATTCTATGTGGGCACATGTGCATATTTTGGAGTGTGAGAGTGACAATAAGAGCAAGTTGAAACAAGAGAGAAATGATTAACTAAGGTGAGTAGATGGGAGCATGGAATGAATAGAATTCACATGTTGGGGAAACGAGAGACTATTTAAATTGTTGAGTAACCCTGAATATGAGAAAGAAAGTTTGAAGGAATGGGTTTGTGTTTTGAGGTGCAGCCTCTCACCTTTCCTGTTTATTGAGGTTCTTTAGCAATCTATATGTTTTTAAAACCTTGCCTTCCTGTGAAAATTGTGCTTTGTGATTGGCCACTAATACCATGGCAACCATTTTGTGAATAGCACTCTTCTATAGGGATGTACATCTTCAATTATCTTCTAATGAAAATAAAATACTTTAAAAGTTTACTTCCTGTTAGGAAACTATAAGAGTTTTCATGCTTTTTTTTCAGTCCAGAACATTTAGTCAATATTTTGTGTATCTTTATTAAAATGCTCTAGTTTTCAAAAAAGAGAGAAAATATATTTTGTGTGTGAAAGTAATCATACTATGTTTTAAAAATATTTTCCTTAAATTACAATTTTGTTGTGCAAAATATTACCTGTTATGTGCAAAATGGAACATCTGCAGCCAATTCCACTATTGACAAAAATGGAGTGCTGGCATTTTCTCACTTGTACAGATGTGAAACATCTCAGAATGGTTGACCAGTTTGGGGAGTGAGACACTTTGTTCTTTCTTGTTGAAGACAAGAATATTTGGTGTGTCCTTAATCTTCTGTAACATCAATTCAGATGGTATATGTGACACTTTTTGAAAATTTCAAATATTGTCACTGGCTCAAATTTTTTTAGGATCCCTAGTCCAGGCACTATGACAAAATACAGATGAATAGATTTGACTTTCTATACTGCTTAAATCCAAAGGCTAAAAGAGCAAATGTTAATGTTAAATTTGTTAAATTTAGTATGTTAAATTTTCATTTAAATGAAATAGTTCCAGGAACTTCTTATTAAATTTTCCCCACATCTGGTTAAAATCTAACATAGAAAAATGATTCTCAGTTTGTAGGGCAAGATTATGCAAGCTCTGGGAATAAGGGGGCAATTTTCCACCTCTGAGATTGTCCATGGCAACAGATTCTCAATGGACATTGGTCAGTTTCTAATCGTATCAACCTGTATGCAGGAGGAGGCTATGCTTTGTTTTAAAGGAAAATCCCAGCCAGAAAAAATGTGGGGTGTCTCAACACCACTGTAGAACCCTATGACTGCATTTGAACTGTGTGCAGGGTGTGAGTCCCATTCCTGACTTAAGAACAATGGAGTTCCATAGCACATTTATTGTGCAGCCACCAAAAACACCAGGCACATAAATGGTGAAGTGGTTTCATTGTTTGCAGCTGTGAAACAACCAAGAAAGTATTTTCAACTGTTCTTAAAAGGTCATAGCAAAATGTGCAGAAGGAAATGAGCTTTGAAACCACTTCCAGTCAAAGATGTAAGAACCGAGATCCAAATATCGTCATTTATGAAGTTCTTGACTTATCTCAATTAGACCAATGTGAGATGTTCAATTTCATGTATATAACTTCTTAGGAAGGAGTCCAGTCATCTATTGAGAGTTCACTAGTAGAAAGCTACAATACTGCAAACACCTTCTTGGTCTCTCTAATAAGTAAACTAGCATCCCAACCAAAATAACAGGCATCTAGAAAACTATTGGTATCCAGATGAAGCTAGCAAGTGTTCACTTCCTTCTACCATCTTTATGCAAGATGTTAACCAATGGAAATCTGCCCTGATTGGGAGCCTATAATAATCATAGTAGAAACTGTCACCTCCCTCTCTTTTCTTCAATTTGACTTTACAATGAAGAGTTAAGAACTATTAAGGTTCCCCCCCCACACACACATTTCTTTAAAATATTTCAAATGGTAGTGTTTATTTGCAAGGCAGATTTTTATGGGTATTTTTTCATGAATAGCCATTATTTATTTATTTATTTATTTATTGAATTGATGCCTTTGAATTGTGGTGCTGGAGGAGGCTCTTGAGAATCCCCTGGACTGCAAGGAGAACAAACCTATCTGTTCTAAAGGAAATCAACCCTGAGTGCTCACTGGAAGGACAGATCCTGAAGCTGAGGCTCCAGTACTTTGGCCATCTCATGAGAAGAAAAGAGTCCTTGGAAAAAACCTTGATGTTAGGAAGGTGTGATGGCAAGAGGAGAAGGGGACGACCGAGGATGAGATGGCTGGACAGTGTCTGCGAAGCAACCAACATGAACCTGACACAACTCCGGGAGGCAGTAGAAGACAGAAGGGCCTGGCGTGCTCTGGTCCATGGGGTCACGAAGAGTCGGACACGACTAAACGACTAAACACACAACACAAAGCAGGGGCTGAGAAACATAACACTCATGGACTGTACATAGGCCTTCACTCATCTTTGAAACTCCCAACTAACAATTGATTTTAATTTTTTTAATGCAAAAAGCATAATTCTCCTAAAACCAAGATACAGGGCCTTGCTTTATCATATAGATGCCTTTTCTCTTTTGAAGCCCCTAAACCAGTGGTTCACAATCTTGGGTCCCCAGATGTTCTTGGACTGCAACTCCCAGAAGCCCTTTCCAGCACAGCTAATGATGAAGGCTTCTGGCAGTTCAAGTACGTCTGGGGACCCAAAATTTAGCAAGCCTTCAGTAATTTAATTCTAAAGGAAAAGCTGGATATTGCTACACTTTTGGAGTTCTTACTGCTTGGAAAAATGTGCTTGCACATTACCAATGGACTGCAATAAAGGCAGATAACCTGCCTGAAAGACATAGGCATAAAGCATATTACAAGTTCACACTGTGTGTGAATTTCCTCCTGTTGCAAACATTGAATCTGCACCACCCACAAATCTCTGTTACATATTCCATAACTATAGTAAAGAGATTTGGACTAGAATTGGATGAGAAATTCATTCTGTCCACATTTCAATTGTAAATCAAATTTTCACTCTTTGATCCTCCATGCTGGAACTGAACCCCATTTAAACTGGAATGCAGGACCAACCCCAGACCTACTGGAGTATGCCACCATGTAGTTATGCTGCCACCAACCATTCCCTATAAGGAGTCACACAGACCAGGAATGGATTTAATAAATAAAAGAACAAGGTTTATTGAAACAACACACAGGATAAATAAAAGAATCAGGTAAATAAGATACTGTAACGTGGCATAGCCCCAAACATACCCATATAACAGATTGGTTCCCACAGAACCCTTTAAGGTAACGCACAGACCCTGAACCTATCAGTTCTGGCTACCTAAATAGAAACCTGAACCTATCAGGTATGTACTAACTGACAAACAGTTGTACCCAGTCTGACACACAGACTCCAACTTCCCACTCTCCACACAAGCTCCAAGTATATATACAGTACAGCTCCTCCCCCCTGATG